ATCACCTTAAACGAAATTGGGTGAATACATCTCATATTACTGATTTACTGGTAGACACGAAAAACAATACATTATTCGAAAAATAAACAAATCAAGCAAACCGGTTTGCTTTTCCTGTTCCAGCTTCTTTTCCCAATACCCTCTTGCTCAGCCAACTTTATAAACTAACACATACTACCGACCGGCTACGTACACCTTCTGGTTCCTGTACAACTTCAGAACGTCACTCTTCAGAATTTCATTTCTCCTATGGGGGTTCCAGGAGGCGTCTTGAGGTATAAATCGTCAAATCGGAATTTAAGCATTTTCGCTTAAAAGTGTAGAATTCCCAAAAGTGAAAGTAGGTGAGATGAAAAGATTCTAAGGTCGGTCCTGCCGCAAGACGACGACGGATTCTTCTTGACCAGCTTTAGAAACAGGCTCTAATGGAACGACCCGGTTAAGGCTGTACTCTAGGCAACCTCATTCGAGTGTGATAAAAACATGCCAAACGTTCGCCTGCTGTATGAAGGACACCATCTGAAATGTTAAAATGCTTAAAAGTATATCCAAGCTGACGGGACCCGAAAGCCCACCGTCAAGTTCATAAAAGCTGTATACATAACACAAACCTGTATGCTTTTGCCTGCATGTGCACACATGTGCGAAACAGGTAGCGATATTGTTAGGGGGACCTTCATTTCGTATGAAATTGCATGAAGAAGAGATTAGTTGTTCGATCTCGCCTGACGAGGACGGATGAAACTCGTTGTACTGCAGATCAGGGCTTTCTTTGAGGTCATTAGGCGTTGATGCTCAAAGCCTAACTTTAACCTTTTGATAACTCTGATTTAGGACCGGTATTGCGTATAGACGCTAACACACACACACACACACTCGAGCAAAAGTAGCAGGACAAGTATGAAAGATAATTAGCCAAACCACTCTATATCCATCTAGGCTTGTAATTTTTAATTTTCTTTCGGCTTAACTGAGACTATACAAAATGTAGGAGAAAGACGGATAGTCTTCTTGGCCTAGTGTTAACATTTGACTTTTACAAGAATGAAACCCAGCTATGATGATGTCCATCGAATGATGGACGAAAGGTCAGCAAGTTTTCACCCGAAACGAGGGAAAAAGTCTCGTGGACTGCGTCAACATGAATATCGTATCAAAGCCAACGCGTTTCATCCGTCCTCATGTGGTGAGATCGTCAAACGAATCTCTCCTTCATGCACTTTCATAAGAAATGAAGGTCCCCCTAACGATGTTATCTCAGGAGATTCATCGAAAGCCCGTTTCTTTTCTTATCTACAGGTAATGATAGTTTAAAGTAATTAGAATTGAGCGTGTCATCAAGGTCATCAAGGTTTGGTGACCCCCCTCCGGATCGTGTAACATCGGATCCACGTCATGTTAATTTAATGTGCTTTTAGTCCGTCCGTCCGTCCGTCCGTGTGTGTGTGTGTGAAAATGAACCAAGACAGGTAAGAAGTGCAGTGATTATCAGAATAGTGACTAACAATGGACATGTTGTGTCGTTCTTGACTTATAGTATGATGCCATGTTCTGATGCAGTACGTCGTATGATGCGAGGGTTTATCACATTTTCACCAAAGATGAATTACGTCTAGTAAGGCCAAAAAGAATCCTCCACCCTTTTCTAATGGAACCCACTTTCGAATCACTGTACTAGCAACTTTTGACTAGAATTGTAAATGAGCTCAACACTCATCAAATAAGAGATACCGTAGACCCCACCTTTTCTGTGCATTTAAACTTACTGTCCCGAACACAGATATTGCCACTTTCTCACTGAAAAGTAGTAAAGACAAGTCGTTTTGCTTAATGATAAAATAAATCTTTTGTTACACATGTATAAAGAATGAGCAAATATAATGTAAAAGGCCACATCAGGAAAATGCATCATCAAAATATAAGAGATCTAATATCAGCCACCGCCCTCCACGACTCTTGCCTCATAGATCAGGCCGCTTGAACCTGAAGTAAGCCATGGGTTTGAATGAAAAAGGGTGAGAGAGCGGTCGGGTGGTCGAGTGAAAGGTGTAAGGCCGCTTGGAGAAAATGCGTCATAAACATGAAAAGGAACCGAGAAAGCACCGTCATAGAGAATTAGTGTGAACTCGGCGGCCGAGGGAAAAGCATAAGAGTCAGGCCTCACGTCCACATGGGAGAGTGTATGTGAGCAAAAAGCGCTAGTTCAAGTGTTGATGATGTCGCTTGGATGGGTTCATGCCTCTTGTGATCAAGCTCACCCGCAGACCGTGTGCTGATCTCAGACATGTGCCGTCCGTGTTGCCAGCCAGGCGGCTGTTTGGACCAAAGTGTACGTCGGGCCGATAGCAAAAAAGCCGAATCGCACAAGTTGTATGCCCCACAACCAAGACGGAGGGTCGCAAATGAGGAGTATTTGGGTGAGTGTTTAATTTCCCGATTGGTTTTGGGCATTACTGGGCAGGAGCTTAAGAAATGGTGGGCTGCATGTACAGGGTCTTGTCTCCAGAGGGATAAATCGCAACTGGAAATAAGGTCGACCAGAATGGTCAAGCTGGAAGGTTATGCCAAGGAAAGAGTTTGGTAAAAAGCAACGAAAAAGAACTGGAAAGCTCAAATGAACGGTCATGAAGAAATGCTCACAAAACTGGTATCAAAAGGTGTGGTAATGCGGGCACGAAGCGAATAGCAACACTGGCAGTTATAGCAAAATTGATAATGATAAAACAGGGCTAAAGGAATCCGGTGTGTGTTTCCATCAGAGAATTTTACATATTCCCGGATTTGTGCCGAATGCCTAAGGTACAGGAAAGGCCTCCGAAGGAATAGTTTAGTTGAGCCACATCTACAAATCGTAAGAAGTAGAAAAAAATTAAAAGATAGAAATTGTAATTTAAAGGGAGAGTGAAAAAATGAGTGTCAAATGTGTCAAATCCTAAAAATCCTAAAAATCCTAAAATTGTGATTCTGCCCATGCGTCGGTATCAATATTTGCCATTTTGAAAGAGAAAAAAGCCTCGATATTGTGAAATGACTTGTTGAAATTTGTGCTCTGTGTACCTTCATTATCAGCACACAAAACTCTGATCGACCAATGGTTGGCCTCATCGGATACCGAAGGAGGGTTTCTGGCTCTGACGATGTCCACCACATGACCAACGAAAGCTCGGCACGGAGTCATCCGGGTTCTGGGACGGTGAGCCCAATTCACAGACTAAAGCGGTGGGGCCAATCTATGAATCTGTTTCACCCACCTTCTCAAACGAAATGAAAAGTATGCCAGTATCTCCATCATACACTCTTACTCGAACTGGCAGCGAGGTGAACAACAATAGTCCAGTTGAAGGTATGGAGACCAAGATGGTGTGGCTGTTCGTATGGTCGCGGTATTACGAGGATAGAGAATAAGTGAACACACCAGGACAGACAGAAAAAGAGATACCACAGCCGTTTCTGCAGACGATGGGTCAAATTATCGGCTCCACTGCTCTCTTTGCCGAGTTTCCGTGTGGTGCTAAGACTGACAAGACTCACTGACGAAATGTCTGAGAATTTTCCAAGTCCACGATCCGACTGTGGAAAATATCATGCATACTATGAACTTAAGGAAAGGTACATGTCGCCAAAACAAGGTCAAGCAACTTGGAAACCATAGTTTTGCTGGCCAACCGGTATTTGCATCCATGATGCTACAGCTCCGTCTGCTTGCCTCATAACAGGGTTGTGGTAGGGCCGATTGAAATGGTGAATGATGCTTCTGCCCATGAACCTGCACCAGACACGGAGACGAATCCCAATGAAGTGGAATCTACACTTTGCCCCTAAGACATTGATCAGGATGAATCCCCAAACCGAAATCGAAGCCTCCTGTCACCGTTACTGTATCAAAAGCTTTTTGATCTGCTGCCCGATGGCGCCACAAGGAATCACAAGTCTCGGCAGAACAGAGATTCGCTAGAACGAAATGAAGAGTGAGTGTGAGCCGGCAAGAGTGTCCGAACCAATTGGGAGGTGAAGTCATTAAGTAGCGAGGAATACCACAAGAGAAGCACAACGCCAGCTGTGACGAGGTGTGAAGGACCTGGCTTTTCGTTTAAAAGTAGAGGTATTCACACTAATTCGTTTAAGGTGATGAAGGACTAATAGTTCAATTTTCCCACAATCGTATGACTAGAGCTGACGTCTCGTGGCCATGTGGCGTAGTGGTTAACGTGTCGAGATTACACGCCGCACTTTCATGGTTCAACTCCCTCTAGGGGTGTGAATAGGACCTAGGAGAGGTAGCAACTGCAGTCATTTCAGCCTGGATGAGAACAGCTTTTGGGATTGCAAAGTAATGTGAAATTCGACGTCTGCTCTACACATTTCATCGTGGGACAATTGAAATACCAGTCCTACATCACCGTAAATGAAATAGGGTGAATACGGTTCTTATTCAAATTATATTTGGTATGATTATGGTTCGGAATGTCTAGAAATGATTGAATATGTCAAATTATGCGATTTGGTAATTGTCAATAGAGCATAACAATAGTAAAGTAAAAATCGCCTTCAACGGGAAAATATGATTATGAAAAGGTAACATCTGCCCCATGACTCGGTGGCACCCGTGGCTGTGCAGCGCGACATTATGTACTCGAATTTGGTTTAATGCTAACCAAAACAAGACTGACTATATTTCATACCTCAAGACCTGCCCACTTTGTTGTGAGACAATATGATCATCAGCTCTTCATGACTTTATTCGAATGACTGAATTACTGAGCCTCGTCACGTGTGGGCATCAACAGGTGAGTACATTTCTCAGTCGACATCTACTGAAAGTACCGACACATGCTCATTTTTGTTGCCTTTAGCCACATGCTTGTGGAAGACACTAATCTACCAGTCTTTAAATCACTGTACTTTGTGGTCAGTCATGCAAACATCAAACATCTCGTGAATAAGAGCTAACCAAGCCTATCAGTGGGTTAACCTCGCTGTCGCAACTTGGTCTTGTTGTCATGGCGACTTAGTAGAGCGTAATATATGCGGAGAAAAGTTGGGTTTCGAGGAGTCTATTGCTGCATAATTGTTGAGCTTGCTGCCATTTCGAGTGAAGGGGTGAAGAGATTCGAAGGTCGGTTCCACCAGAAGACGACGGCGAATTCCTCTTGACCAGCTGTCGATTAGGTTGAGGAGATTCGAAGGTCGGTTCCACCAGAAGACGACGGCGGATTCCTCTTGACCAGCTGTCGATTGGTTTTACTGGAAGATTCATGCTGACGCGGAGATTCGAAGGTCGGTTCCACCAGAAGACGACGGCCGATTCCTCTTGACCAGCTGTCGATTGGCTTTACAGCGTCAACATGAATCTTCCGGTAAAGCCAATCGACAGTTGGTCAAGAGGAATCTACCGTCGTCTTTCAGTGGAACCGACCTTGGCAGCTCTTCACCCAAGACTTTTACTCGAAATGAAAGTAAGCTCA